AATCCTTAGATCCAAGTCCATGGAAAACTGGGTGAGGGATGCTTTGATTCTAGAAAGGCCACCTTCCCAGGGATGCCCACAAAAGAGCAATAAAGGAGGTATTTCCCAACGGAAAGGCTCTGGAGAAGTTGTCCTGCTATCTCGAAGGAAGGGCTATAGATCGGAGTCCATTATTGTCTGTCTTATTCCAAAAGGAAGAGTGTTGGGTTTTTTTTTAATATTTATTTATTTATTATGTATACAATGTTCTGTCTGTGTGTATGTCTGCAGGCCAGAAGAGGGCACCAGATCTCATTTCAGATGATTGTGAGCCACCATGTGGTTGCTGGGAATTGAACTCAGGACCTTTGGAAGAGCAGGCAATGCTCTTAACCGCTGAGCCATCTCTCCAGCCCCTTGTTTTGTTTTTTAAGAAACAAAAAAACTATGGTCTAATCTCCCTTCACTATTTTATCTTGGTTATGTAGGGGTGAAAAATCAGCCTTTCGGCCACATACTGCAAAATCTTAAGGACACTTTTTGACATGACCAAGAATCGCACGTCACTAAGGGACTAGGACAGGTAAAGAAATTGTGTAACTGTTTTGTCTCTCACCGGAAAATGGCTGTGACTGCTTTGGTTGGACCCGGGATTATTACTACACACAGTTTTGGAATTGTAAGTTTGTCAATAAAAGCTTAGGTGGATGCAATAAATGTAAAATGTGCTAGGTGGGTACTACTTATTGTCCATTATCTTTCCCTTTGCAGAGCTATTTCTCCCCTCCCTCACAGGCCTGGAAAAGTAGCCCAGTCTTCCATTTTAGAGGTGTACATATGCTCAATACTAAGGAAAATCTTCCCTAGGATTTTAAAGCAAGAAATAGTGAGATCAACATGTAAATGGAAGCAGAATCAAGAGGTGGAGACATTACATCGTCATTTAAACCCCTAGATCCAATAATGCCTGAAGGCAGCAATTTTAGCCTTTGATCTAGTGTTTATACAAGCTATTTAATTTCCTAATGACTTAAAGATGTTTGTGTTTAGGTTTTGATACTTGCAATTGAAAAGGGCCAGACTATTACATGCACACACAAATAGACACAACACCATGTTCCTCAAACTCAAGACATTCTACAAATCTTCCATTACCTTACCAAGGGTTAGTAAACTTATTTTCTAAGAGACCAGATAAATGTTAAAAGCTTTGTGAGCCACATAAGACTCTGTATCATCATTTTCTTTTGACAACTCTTTAAAAAATATATAATGGGGACTGGAGATATGGCTCAGTAGTTAAAAATGTGCACTGCTCTTGCAAAGGACCAAGTTCAGTTTGTAGCACCCTCAGCAGGCAGCTGGCAAATACCTGTAACTCCAATTCCAGGAACTCCAATGCCCTCTGCTGGCCTCTACGGCACCTGCAGTCATGGGCACTTCTCTGCAGAGACATGCACACATATCTATAGTTAAAAAAATAACAAAATCCTTGAATTTTTTAAAAAAATCATTCTTAAAAAATCATTCTTAATTGTTATGCCATGCAAAATATATCACAGGTCAGGTCTGGCTGACACACCATCGTTTGCCAGCACTTGACCTAAATTGCATCAACACCTGCAAATTGGGGATCTAGAGTCTACCAGGCCCTTGCTCATACCCTATAGCATGAAGTAAAATAAATTCCATATTGTTTAGAATGCTTTGACATGACTCAGTACCGAGTTAAGGTTCGGGTAGATTTAGGAATGATAAGAGGCTCTTGATTTATCTGTAATTTAACAGAATCTAAAATAAGGGATTATTATTTCTTGGCTACAAATACCTTCTCAAAATTATGCAATCACTCAAGAGACTTTGAATATCCTAGTTCCTTCTTGACGACTCTTCACTTTAATCTCTAGGAAGACTTTCTGGAGCTCTCCCAACATTAGAGCAGGCTGTAGCTTTCTTGCTGGTATAGGCCACATGTGTCCCTCCATTGTATGTGCTTTAATCATCGGTGTTTCCCCTCAACTCCTGGGACTTGGGAGAAACTTGAGCCCTAGAACAATGCCTAACACCTAACACTGAGAACTGTCTGCTTTTAGGTGAATGCCTGAAGTCTGTTTTGTGTGTGCACATATATGCAGAGACCAGAGTACAACTTCAGCTGTCATTCCTCAGGGGTCATCACCTAGCTTTTTGGAGATAGGGTCTCTCATTGTCCTCGAACTCACCACTTTGGCTGGGATGGCTGGTCAGTGGGCCTCCCAGACCCACTTGTCTCTGTTGCCCCAGTGCTGAGGGTACAAGAGCATGCCTGTTTTGTTTGCTTGTTTGTCTTAATGTGAGTTCTGAGGAATTGACCGCAGGTCCTTGGGCTCACAAGGTAAACACTGTCCTGTCTGAGTTATGTCTCTAAGTCCATGAATATCTTTTCATTTGAATAGGCAGGTGTTGTATACCTCTGCCTGTACCCGAGGCATTTGTCTGTGGGTTAGCACTATGCGGGTGTATGTGTGCCTCAGGACCAGTCCCTCGCCCATCTGGCAATTGTTTGTGGATGTCTTCCACAGCTAACCTAGCAAGGTTGACAAATCTAGTTTTAATTCTCATTACTTCCAAAAACCAGTCAAAGACAGAGGAACGGGGCTGTGTGTGGGGAGGAACAGGTTTTCTTCAAAAGAGCCTAGAAGGAATTATCTTCTTTCCCTCCCACATCGTTTTATGTCCCAGTGTTATCCATCGGATGACAGGCCTCCAGTGCTGGACCAGAGCATCCCCTATTCGGTGGGGCTTCAAACTAAGTTGATCCATGACTTGGTGGTGGGAGTGTAAATTATTCCCCCGGGGGAAAAGTGTATTCAAGGCCTGGCAGGCCCAGGGAGGGCTGACCAAGACAAGGTGAATCGTGGTATTCTGAGCTGAACCTTTTGCCCATCTCACAGAAGCAGCAGGAAGCACCACCATTGATCAGCTTTATATGGCACCCACTGTATACAACAGACAGACAAGGACAGACGGACAGAGCACACACCACTTCTAAGCTGAACACGGCTCACCATCTAAAAGCACCTCGGGTAAGCACACATGAGACACACTTGCATAGGAAAGATGGACTTTTTAAAGGAATGAATTAGTATTTTGGCAAAACATCTACTTCCCTCCCGGGTCCTGGGTAAAGAGGGACCTCTAATTCTGAAGCTTCTACATAGACAAAGTATCCCCTCCTCAATGGCAGTATTTACAGCAGCAAGCCTTCCGTGTCTGTGTCACAGCCCTCTACATGTATCTCAAGTCTACTTCACAGGTGGACAAACAGACTAAGAGACAGAAGGTGGCCTGAAGCAAGGGGACACTGGGGCAGTCGCAAGGGGAGGGGAACGGGAGGTGTCTCAGCTTAGCCAAAGGTGTGGCCTTGGTCTACCTGGACTGGGAAGGAAAAGGCTCCCTCTTTCTTCCTGCCTGGGGAGGCTCTGACTCCCCAGGAAAGGGCATCATGAAGGAAAGGCAGATTCCCACTTCTGATGGCTGGGGCCCTCGTAGCATAGCAAAGAGCAGCGCAGGCCTGAATCCTCCTGAGGCCTCCTCGGGGATACTATCTGAGTTTTGGGACTGTGGATTCGCTGCTTCCATAACCCTCTTGTTGCTGGACTATGAGCCTAGGCTTCACATCCTTTGTCGTTTCTGTTTAAGGGCAGGGAAGGGAGTAGCTTCAGAAGGAATGAGACACAGGACAGTCTTCCACAGCCGCCTCTGCCTAGGCTGGGGCTGGCTATTAAGGGTCTCCTTCACCCTGTCTCCTAGGGATAGTTAAAGGCAGCTTTTATGAGACTCTATACTGTCTTTTTGTCTCTCTTCTGTTTTCTCTTTGTTTTAATTTATAGATATATATATAGATATAGATATTCTTAAAAAAAAGCAATAGTCCTTTGGTCCCTAAACACTAAGGAATGATATGATTCTGAACAAAGTAAGTTTGGGCTTCCCTTGCTGAGAAGCCCTTGGCACCCCCCAAGGCCCTCTGCTGGTTCCCTTAGATCAGTCGATCCTCAGCCAGCACTGGTTGCCCTGCCAGCTTGATCACTCCGTGGAACAACCCACACGATGAGTGGCCTGAGCCCCAGGCGCCAGCCCTGGGTCTGGTCCACCTTCGTCTGCTGCCACTCCTTCCGGTAGGGCCACTCCAGCATTTCTGTGCTTTTCCTCTTCCTTTCTTCTCACTCTTCAGTTTCTGTTGTTGGTGTTGATTGATAAGGAAACAGAGGCGGGAGGAGGCAAAGGTCACTGAGGGTAAGAAAAGAGCAGCCTGTCCCCTCTGTGACTTCTCAGCTAAGTGTCAGGGTTTCTCTTCCTGGCAGCATCCTCGCCACAGAAGCTAGCCCTTGCCTAGATCCCAGGCAGAGCATTGTAGCAAACGTCCCACAGTTTCTGGGGCAGCTTGAGTGAGCTGAGGCCAAGGGGACCTGCAAGCACAGCACAGCTCTCCAAGTGGCAGGCAGTCTCCTGCGGCCCTTCCTGAAGCCTGGGCCTCATCACCATGCTGCTCATTGCCTACTAAGCCCTGCGGGTCCTCCTGAGGCTCGTGACTTCTCTCCCTCCATCTCCCGTTAGCTGCTCTCCTCTTCATTCAAGCTGCCCAGTGGTTCTATCCCCTTCGCTAAAGCCAGGACCTATGGCCTATGGGATCCTCAAGATATGAACCAAACCCCATTTCCCACAGCCCCCTCCTCATATAAGCTCACTGCTCCTGTGGCTTCCTACTGTTGTCCCTAGAATAGAATGGGCTGAATTTTCCTAGAAATCGTCTCTCCAAGACTGGACGCACCAAGGTCATCTAATTCACCTTGAACTTTGGGTTGAAAAAAAAAATTCCAGTCTCTGTCCCCCTTATCCCTGGCTCTTCTCTTTATTTCTGGATTTCTCAGATGGCAGTATCCTGATATCATAAAGTTGCCAGGGTCTTGTGACCCTGGTCCCGTTTGCCTGACATCCATCGAAGACTCACCTGTCTGTGACTGACCAGTGAATGCAGATCAGTAAGGCCTGTTGGCATCCTTAGGTCTCTTTAGCTGGACCTTGAGCCTCTTCATGCCGATTTGAAAGCCATTCATGGCCTGGATGGCAGTCTGGGCACTGGTTGGATTGTCAAAACTAACAAACCCTGGAGGGTGTGGGCAGACAGGTTAGCTGGGAATCCAGCTTGCCAGGATCTCCTTTCTCTAATTTCCGGACTAGGTCCATCACACAGGCAGGCACCTTTCTATTGCTTAAATATGTGAGCATCAATGCATACATAGTATAGACACATACGTAATAGAGGCAAATCATTCCTAAAGGTGTGATTTCCAGAAGATGGGAAGGAAGTCTGTGTGGGTCAGAGTATTTCCCTGACTTGGCTTGGCTGCTTTGCTTCACTCCTCCCAGTCTGGCTTCAGATCTGCAGTTGGGGTCTGAAGGCAACTCTTTATTCCAAACCCATCCAAACTCACCCTGCTTTGGACAAACTCTAAAGCTGAAACCTTCCCGATCTCACACATTCTAGTTACCCAAGATTCTCAGGTGGTCTGAAACAAGGCTTTCTGTGCTCACACTTTGTCCTGTAACACTCAGTCTCTGGAAGCCTTATGGGCCTCGTGAGGCACGGGGATGGATCAGCTCACCAAAACACTTGCTCTGGTTGGTGGCACGATCCACAAACACTTTGGCAGAGACAACGGCTCCAAAGGGCAGGAATGTCTGTATGAGTTCTGCATCCCCAAACTCCTGAGGCAGGTGATAGATGAAGAGGTTACAGCCTTCGGGGCCTGTAGGAACAGTAGCAGGTTTGCTCAGGAGAAGAATCCTCAGGGGCAACCCCCACACACAAACCCCTGCTCTCCAGCCCCCAGTCCCTCACCTTCTCTTTGTTGCTGAGGCAGAGCTGAAGGCTGCTGGGGAAAAGCTGTGCTCACTGGGGCATAGGCCGAGGAATAGGCTGCTGGAGACAGAGGTGGGAGTGGGCAGTGACCCCCAGGAGCCATTTCCCAGACAGAGCCCCATCCGCCTGACCAGCTCTGACAGATTCAACCCAGTTCACTATAACCCCTGACCCAAGACAGGTCGCTGGGGGCTGGGGCTGGGGACTGAACAGGATGGAAGAGTTGGCTCCTCAGAACAGAGCCTAACCCTCCCACAAATCTCCCTCTTCCTGCCTGAGGCCCTTTAACACCCCACACCCACACACCCGGGCTGGGCAGTGCCAAGTGAAACCTGCATATTGGTGTATCCCAGCGTAGGCCTGCTGCAGGGGATCAGCCACACCGGGGCTCTGGGCTGGAGAGAGAGGGGGCGCAAGGCCCACGATGAAGGCAGGTAGGCAGGGGCCAGGGGAGAGACCCTGGGTGGGCGTGTGGGAGGTGGAGGACCGCTATGAAAGGCAGCAGGGAAGATGGGGGAATCCCTTCCCCCCAGGCATGGCCTTGCCTGGAAAACCTGGCTTCCCATTCCATTTCCAGGAGGTTTGGGTCAGCAGGGTAGGGTGACCCACCTGGGTAAGGGGAAAGCCCGTTGTTATAGATCGAATCGGAGCCTGGCTGTCCATTGGTCTGGGGGGTCAAGGAGCCGAATCCATTGACCCCCATGGGCGCTGGAAGGCTGGGGAGTGCACCAGGACCACCTCCACCAGGTGATGCGTTGGCTGTAGGTGGAGATAAGACTGTCAGGGAGCGGTACTTCAGAGGCCCTCCCAACCATGGCTTCAGTTTCTTGGGTCTCTAACCTGCTGTAGGCAATAGCGGTGCAGCCACCAGGCTGAAGGCCGCCACGTGCTGCATCTGGGCGGCCACCGCGGCCACCTGGCCTAACCCAGGACCCTGCGCCGCCGCCAGCAATGCTGCCTGGTGTTGCAAGATCTTGGGGAAGGAAGAAGGGCATCTGTAGAGGCCTCAGCGGCTGGCAACTGCCTGATCCTATTCACTCCGGGCAGGCAGGCACCTACCGCAGTGGTGTAGGCGCCACAGGCCCCGAGAGGCAGTGGCGCTGGATGGAAGGCGCCCAGCTGGCCAGCCATTTGCTGCATCCTCCGCAGCGCGCGCTCCCGGTCGGTGTCTGCCAGCTTCACCACCAGGCTGGATGAGGCGCCCTTAGCAAAGGAAGGGCGTGGTGACCTGTACTGGCCCTGATCGAGCTCTGAGTCCAGCACCTTCCCCAGCCAGCCCTTGCTCCGGAACGCGGAGAGCAGGTTCCCACCCCGCTGGCCTCACCCTCAGCCCAGGTCCCGCTCTTACCGTCATTGTCCGGCTACCGTGCAGTCCCTGGATGGCAGCTTGAGCTTCCCCTTGACTCCCGAATTTCACAAAGGCACAGCCTGGTGCAGGAAACAAGAATGGAACGACTCAGGCCACAGGAATCAGAGGGTAAGAAAAGGTCACCCGGAAAACCCAGGGGCAGTTCAAGTCACCTTTACTGGTACCATCAGGACTCCGCAGGACAGTGCACTCCTCGATATGGCCGAAGGGCTGGAACAGACGTCTGACATCCTCCTCACCCTGCTGCTTGCCCAACATCCCTACAAACAGCTTCCGGTCCTCTGGGGACAAAGCCAGGAATGACCTGGGGACCCCAAGTGTTCCTAGACTCCCCAGAGTCGCCTGCAGATCTTGGGAAGGTGGCTCACCAGTCTTGCTCTAGGAAGACTTGTAGGGAGTGAGAAGGCCATGGGACTCTAAAGCTGGGTGGCCTACAGGTCTTGAGGGAAGAAACTCAGCTGAGATTTCTACCATGAAACCTGGGTCCTCCAGAAGCTCATAGAGACCCATTGCTGCTCATGTGGGAAGTGACACAGTCTGATGCCTTTTTTGGGGTGGAGCCTATACACAGCATGTTATATTTTGACCCTTTTTATTGTGGACTTGGGCAATGCTACTGGAGACTCAGCATGCTGGAGAAAGGGTTGCTTGACTATGACCTTACTGGTCAGCCTGGTGGCAACGGCCAAATCAATGCTCTTTCTTGCTCAAATTAAGGAGGGTTCTGTCAAACAAGCAAATAAATTACAAACAAACAAAAACAAAACAAAAACCCGACACAGAACACAGCAAGCTGTCCTACTCTACTGTCTTAGTCTAAGATACTCAGCACTGGACTGGTGAATCCTTACCCCCAGCACCAAATCTAACCCAAAACCTACAGAGAAGGCTTGGTTTTCTGAGCTTCTAACATAGTATTTCCCCACTGTGCCTGCGGAGTCTCTGAGCCCCTTTCTTAATTTCCAGCCCTCTCCACCCCCATCTCCTTGCTTAGCTCCCAGGGTTCTCCCGGGCCCTGTGATCTCCTCTTTGACTCCTCATGTTCTCGTGCCCTGATCCCTCCTCTGTTGTGTTTATGCCTTGGAGAACACATTCCCTCGGTAACTTAGATGATCATCTGAAAACAAGGGATCTCTCCATGCACCCACATTTCCTGTGGGGGTGGCAGAGAAAGGGACAGGATTGGAAGCTGAGCCTCTGTTCCCTGGGGAAAGTTAGAGGGCTTGGATTTGAACCCGGGATTAGCTGTACATCTTTCAGGTCAGACCTCTGCAGCTCTATCTAGGAAACTGGGATTGGGAGGATAGGACCAGTGGACCTACTGTTAGAGTCTGCATTCTGTCTCTTTCCAAGAAGGCCTCTGAATTAGGGGTGGGGAAGGAAGGGTTCCTTGGGAATCAGGCATCAGGTTTCATCATTAAGATCCCAGAGCTCAGAAAAGCAAACAAACAAACGAATAACAAAAAACCCGGCTCCTAAACCCCTTTGCTACCTCACAAGCTTACATCCTCGTAAGATGATGGATTTTTTTTAAAGATTTATTTATTTATTATGTATACAACATTCTGCCTCCGTGTATGCCCATACGCCGGAAGAGGGCGCCAGATCTCATTACAGATGGTTGTGAGCAAACCATGTGGTTGCTGGGAATTGAACTCAGGACCTCTGGAAGAGCAGCCGGTGCTCTTAACCATTGAGCCATCTCTCCAGCCCCAAGACGATGGATTTTGCTTCTAAGGTGTTAGTGAGAGAATTGAGCCAGGGGAACAGATCCATGTTTTCTCAATCTCTTAAAAAAAAGTGGTGAAATACATTGTTTCAGTAAAAATATTAAGATGGTGCTGGTGAGACGACTCAGTGGGTAAAAGCACTTGCTGTCAATGATGAACCTGATTCTATCTCTCTCACATGTATGTGTGTGTATATATATATACACACATATGTATATATACACACATATGTATATATACACACATATGTATATACACACACACACACACACACATATATATATAACATCTCATGAACCTAAGTTCTATTCTTGGAACCCGCATAGTGGAAGGAGAGTACCGACTTCCACAAGTTGTCTCTGAACTCCACATACAGGCTGTGGCACACACACACACACACACACACACACACACACACACACACACCAATCAAAATGCCTGGACTGAAGCCAGAAAAGGGGGGTGAAATCTTCCCTGTGCAATCCAAGGAAAGTCCTCTGAAACCATAAAAGAAGATAGAGGGTAGGGTTCCGGATAACCCAAGAGGACAGGAAAGAGGAAGGGGTATGCAAGCCACTGAGCAACATCAAAGATGGGGCTCAACCTTCCAGGAATGGAAGGAGTTGGAAGGTAGCACCAGTGTGGATTTGAGTCTGGCATAAATATTATGAAGTTCATGGTTTTGTTCTAACATTGACGAACAGGCCTCAAGTGGTCAGGGAAATGTCCAACATCAAATGTCAAGAAGTCTGTGCTATTGTTCTGAGCTGTGACATTAAAATACGCCCATGTCTGCAAAAGACCTGGAAGTGTCTGGAGAAGATCCCAGGATCTTCACAGTCCCAAGGGAGCTTCATGGTGCTCTAATTTATAGTAGAGCTGTGTCACTGATAGGATCTGTAGACTGTCATGCCTCCTGGGCCAGCATCCAGGTAGCCCTATGTGAAAAGAGACCACAAGCTTAGATGAAGCCCCTAACATAGTAAAGAGGTTGTGTGGACAGGAGCATTGCACTCCTTCATCTAAACTTTATGTTGATGTTTTCTGTTCATGGTGGAGTGTGTGACAAAGGTGGCCTCAGCATAGCTATCACAGTTCTCCTTGTCCCGATAAGGAGCTCTTGATTTAGAATTTCCATCACATTAAGCCTATGCTTCTGGACCACTGAGGTGCAAAAACGCCATCTTTGAAAAGAGCATTCATTATGGGCTGGGTTCTCTACCCGTTTCCAAGGTAACACTTGAATCTTGGAACTTTCTCTGATACTTTACAAGGACTTAACATTACACAGGATGATGAGCTGGAACTTCAGGCAATCCAGAAATAGTGGGATAATTTCATGAGACTTGATCAAAGACAAGCCTGGGCCCTCTCGTGTAGCCTGCAGACTGACACTGAGACTCTAAGGCATACTGATTCCCCTTCAGATAGAAATGATGGTGCTAACAGCCCAGATAAATCAGTTTCCTCTAATCAAACTCTACGAGTTTGCTTAAAAGAGAGCGCTGTAAGAGGGAGGAATCAATGTCTGGCTGGGGATGTAGCTCAGTGGTAGAGCACTTACATAGCATGACACAGCCCTGGAGTTCAGTCCCAGCACCTAAAAGCATCTAAGTAAGAATACCTAATGGGGCTGCAGAAGATCCAAGTTTGATTTCTAGCATCCACATGGTGGTGGTTCAACACCTTCCTCTGGTCTCTGTAGACCCCAAGCACACAAATGGTGCATAAACATATACACAGACAAAACACCCATACACATAAAAAATAATAACATAAAGAGTATCCCATGAAAAATGAGTAGGTCCCTAAAGACAGACTATCTTCTATCTTCCTGGGGAGTTCTGTCTTCCTGGGGTGGAAGAAAAAGGGAGGAAACATCCGTGGGGAGTTGAGATATAGTTGGAAAGCCACAGAGTTCAATGATAAAGGCCTGGAATGTAGCTTACTTGGCAGAATGCTTGCTCAGTATGGGTTTGGTCTCGAGCGCTTCATGAATCAGGCATTGTGGCACACAATTGTAACCTCAGCACTCAGGGAGCCAGGGCATTCAAGATCATCCTCAGTTATACAGAGGCCAGCCTGGGCTACATAAGACTCTATGTCAAAAATGAAAAGACTTACCCAGTTGTGGTGCTCACCTTTAACCTACACTCAGAAGGCAGAGGCAGGAAGATCTCCGTGAATTCAAGGCCAGCCTGGTTTACATAGGGAGTGCCAGATCAATCATGGGTACATAGTGACACTGTTTTTTTTTAAAAAAAAAAAAGTTTTATCTTCAGTGGGCAAAGAGCTGTGTGGTGTTGTGGTAGGTGGGGACAGAATGGTCAGGTGGATGCCAGCCTGGGTTACATAATGAGACACCGTCACAAAAAGCAAAAAAACAAACCAGCTGATCAACTAAACACACAAACACAACCAACCAATAGGCAAAGATCTTAGATTAATATTTCTACAAAGACATACCAATGAATGAGAAGCACATGACATTTCTTGAAACATTAAGTTCAAGAAATAGAAGGGAAATAGAAGTCAAAATTAGGAGACATGAGAGACTGGGATGCTGGTGCAAGGAGGAAGATAAGAAGGCACAGCTGCCACGGTGAAACAGCATCAGGTTCAGTGGCACACCTTTAACCCCAGCACTTGGAAGCAGAAGCAGGTGGCTCTCTGTGAAATCAAGGCAAGCCTGTCTACAAAGGGAGTTCCAAGCCAGTCAGAGTCACACAGTAAAACCCTGTCTCACTGCCCTTCCTCAAAAGATGTAATAGCAGCCCCCAAGAAAATAAAAGCAGAATTACCGTATGATCCAGAATGGCCTTCTTTGAAATATTTATGCCAAAGTATTAAAAGTTTTGTACTTTTTTTTTCCAAAATTACTTTTATTTTTAATCAGCATTAATAATTTTACCTATTGATGGGATACAGTTTCATATTTTGCTGTATACAGTGTGGAATGACTAAATGAAGCTGATTAACATATTCATCACCTTAAGCTAATTAACATGTTCATCACTTTACTTGACTTTTCGTGGTAAATTTTTAAATTCCTTTTAAAAAATTTATTTCATTTCTTAAATATCTATCTATTTATTTATTTATTTTGAGACAAGGTATCTCTATATTGTCCTAGCTGTCCTGGAACTCACAATGTAGATGAGGCTGGCTTCAAACTCATGGAGATCTGCCTGCTTCTCTCTGCCTCCTGAGTGCTGGGATTAAAGGTGCTGCCACTCCTGGCTTTGTGGATTTTTTTGTTATGTATTTTTTCTTTATGTATATATGTGTGTGTGCCTGCTTTCTATAAGTATGTGCACCATGTGCTTGCAGGCCAGAAGAAGGCATCATATGGGATATGGTGCTGGGAAGTAAACTTGGGTCCTCTGCAAGAGGAGCAAGTGCTCTTAACTGCTGAGCCTGCTCTCCAGCCCCACAGTAAGGCACTGGATTCCCTTGAGCTGGAGTTATAGGCGACTTACAGCCACCTGGCAAGGATTCTAGAAACTGCAGTCCTTCTGCAGGAGCGATATGTGAGCTGAGACATTTTTACA